GGAGGTTCAACCAAGGATGGCAATTGTTTTATACAATTACAGGGGGGGCTTCGATTCAACAAGGAACCTTGATACTTTTTTGCGCTCTGCCAATGGCACAAGTACTTGGTAAAGAACCCACATACAAACCCCTTTAGGAAAGGAACCCCATGGATGCCAAAAGCAGTAGAATAAAGAATTGGCCCACTAAGTATTTTATATACGCTCTACAATATAACATCCGGAAAGAAAACTAAGTCTAAGAGTGTAATTTCAGGCAAAGTCAAAGACAAAAAAACAAACCAAACAAATATCTAAAAAGAACGCGCGTACAATGACTTCACCTTGAGTGATCCCCACCATGACATTTCAATCGGAAAAAATCGGCATGTATTGAAACATTGTTTCGGCATTCTTTCTGTCATATCTTCTGACTTTCTTTCTGGCATATCTGTTGACATTATTCCTGGCATATCTGTTGACAGTCTTTCTGGCGTCTCTTCTGACATTCTTTCTGGCATACCTTTTGACATTCTTTCATGTCTTCTAAAATTCATTCTGACATTCTTTCTGGCATATCTGCTGACATTCTTTCTGGCATATCTTCTGACATTCTTTCTGGCTTATCTTCGGACATTTTTTCTGTCATATCTTTTGACACTCACTCTGGCATATCTGTTGACATTCTTTCTGACGTTCTTTCTGGCATATCTTCTGACATTCTTTCATATCTTCTGACATTCTTTCTGGCATATCTGCTGACATTCTTTCTTGCATATCTTCTGACATTCTTTCTGGCACCTCTTCTGACATTCTTTCTGGCATATCTGCTGACATTCTTTGTGGCGTATCTTCCGACATTCTTTCTCGAATATTAATCCCCATCTTTCTGAAGCTCTTTCTAGCATACTTCTGACTCGCTGCTGTCCAGAACTGGCGGTTTAGGTCCGGCGGGGAACACTGCCTTCCGGAGCTGGAGGTTGAGGTCCGGCGGGGGACACTGCCATCCGAAGCTCGCGGTTGAGGTCTGGCGGGGAACACTGCCGTCCGGAGCTGGCGGTTGAGGTGTGGCGGGGAACACTGCCGTCTGGAGCTGGCGGTTGAGGTCCGGCAGGGAACACTGCCGTCCGGAGCTGGCGGTTGAGGTCTGGCGGGGAACACTGCCGTCCGGAGCTGGCGGTTGAGGTCCGGCAGGGAACACTGCCGTCCGGAGCTGGCGGTGAGGAGGACAAGGACGAGGACAAGGAGAGGTGGGGCAACTGACATAACAAATAATGTATATAATGTGACAACCCTCACCAGACTGGTGGGGAAAAACTAAGCTTTAGGTCAAGGGTGGATTTGTCTCAAGCATTGCTTTGTTCGGTTGTGTTTTATATATAGTTAATAGCTTACTTGTTTTGCAGTTCTATTTTTTATTACTTTTGCTTGTGGTTTTGCACTCCCTTATCCCAAGAAATATAGGTTTTGGAGAGTTTCAAGACACCATTGCCAAGACCCACTGGTCTTAACTGAATTTCAGCTGCAATTGATTGTTCTGGTTCTTGCAGGACAACACCGTAAATGCAAAACGTTTTTTGAGCAAGTTAGCTGGGTTGTTGCAACAACAATGTATTATTTTTGAAGATGTCCCTCTTACCGTGTGCCCTACGCTGGTGGCGCACGGGCGACTACAATCCCCACACGTGTGCTTCGTGCCCCCCAATGCCGAACGTATTTTGGGGCCACTAATTATCGGTTTCCAGTGTTTTGGACAGCAAACAATAAGCTACTTTCAATCAAGAAAGAGTAGCAAGGTTCAGATCAATTCAGACATTCGAGGCGGCTCATGACTAAAGTACATGTACGGAAGTTTTGTCGGATGCTCGAAACGCTGACCAAATAACATCTCAAGCTGTTGTGCTGGACCAAGTACGTTCAACGTTTAAAAACTGGGCAGCGTCCAAACTGGCTTGTGTGGCAGCAAAGGTGACAAAAGAAGGATGAAAGGCAAAACTTTCCAAGGACTTGGCCGTCAACTGGCACTGAGGTTGGCACAGCTGGATGGTATTTCCCATCTGACCATATGCCTACATTGGCGGGGCGATTGCAGCTCAGAATGGAGCCGTGCTCAAGACTAAACCAGGTGGGAACAGGATTGAACAGGTATCATTGCCCATCTCACGCCTGAAGCGCTCAGCATCTGGCGATACGCAACCTGTCACTTTACTCGTCTCAGACCTGCTGCATCCTGCTGCTAGCCATGCTCCATTCGACTTGCTTCCCAACCTTGATCCGCTCGTAACAGTCGAAGCCTGTGACGAAGCACCCAGCAGCGGAATCCAGAAATAGCTGCGGTTGTAGTTCAACGACCACTTGGAGCCCTTTCATCCAAGCCTCCACACCATCATACAAACACACTCATGACTCATGATTCATCGTTTTCCAGTACGGCTCAATCCTTTTGGGTGCCTTGTCCAAGAACTCTCCGACATTCCCGTTCACGACACAATGGTGGAGCAGGAGCGGCCTCAGAACTTCATCCCATGAGCTTGACACTCGTGGGGCACCATGGACTTCCTGCATGGTCAATCTGTTCCGAGAGAAACTCAAACTACTGCATGGATCAACACATTTCAATGAAGTTCATTCAAGGCGCCTCACATTGAACTCGCTCAGCTCGTTTAAGTCTGTTCTGTTAGCATGGCCTGAGTAGCTTGCTTTAGATCTTTCTTTCTTGAGATATGGCCGGCCAAGCTCACTTTTATAACTTATATACAACAAGGAACAAACGCAGCGTGCACCTCCATCTTCTAAGCTTCACACCGTGCCAAGTCGACACAAGCCAGTAGCTTGCGAGGTTGTCTGGAACCAAATATCAGCTCAACTGTGGCAAGTACCGTCCAACAACACTGTTAATCAGCAGCACGTAATTGAACGCTAGTTTGCAACCAGTTGAAAAAACTCTGGTACCAGTGCTGGCTTGTACTGCTGTCCTTGCCCCAAGGGCCCATCACCGCAAGCACCCTCCAAACGCTCAGCCACTGGACGCAGGGCAGCTTGTGCTCCCGATAGTGTGAGCAGCCATGCCGCGATGCCGATCATGGGGCAGGTGGGCGAAAGGTGGTGTGCTGTGAGTATTTTACTAGCTTTTGATTTTACACATGTATGTCATGTATGTCACAAAGGGCCCTGCAACACGAGTCTTGGCACAAATCTGCGGTGGCGTTGCCGCCCTGCAAGCTTGTCAAGCTGTTCCGTGCTTCCATGCACATTGTATAGTCCTCCCTCAATGAAACTTGAAAAAGCCTTCCTCTCCAAAATTTGAGAAGGTCTTGACTTGTCTTCCTCACGTCCTGCAGAGTAAACTTGCAAGACCTTTGCTTTATCTACCATTGCCCTAGATCCCGATTCCTGCTGCAAAGTGCAACTCGTGTCGTAGAATGGGTGAAACTTGAGACAGCTGCGGGTGTGGGTCTTCTGAGCAAGTTTCGGATGTCAAAGGGAGGGATGAATTCCAAAAGCATTAAAAACACATTCTTGACATTTCCAGGTTAGCTGAGACGAGACGGTTGCGATTCATCTCGATGAGCAGGGTGGACTATACATTATATACGCATCTCTATTTTTGGCTGGCGCTTTGCGGATTCACCTTTGACATCTTTGACCAAGGCCTTATTAGGGCTGAGAGAAAACACCATACTGTTTTCTTACAGGAGCCGTAGAATTTGTATATTTGGCACTAAACTCAAATGTGCTTTCTATTTTGAGGGGCCCCATCTCGTTTTGACTACTTTAGTAGGAGTTACATCATCTGGTTAAGACTCTTTTAGTTGCAAGTCACATGGTATCTCGCTTATTGAGGGACCCCTGACTCATCCACAATCGAATACTGATCTTGAGTTGGACAAACACATAGTGCATGCCGTAGACTTCTCCAGCAAAGCCCAAATGAGTGGTTGCTATAAGAAGATGTATCTTGGATTGAACAGGCCCTGCTGATGCCGCTCTGCGGAGACCTTCCTGCTAAGTTTGCGTAGCACCGCTAGGCTCGCGCGTGGCCGCTTTCCAATGGCTGCCTATTAAACTGCTTGGTGCTCGCGTTGTGACCTTCTCTCTTCAAAACATGACCCACCTTCTAGTATTGTACGTGGGTGTTGGTGAAAGGGCTTCGCATGCTGGACTCCTAAAGGACCATAAGTTTCTGGCCACGCTGACGAGTTCATTGTTTCATGGGCTGCTGGCCTCGCCAAAGAAGAAATGACGACCGAAAGGATGCATGCAGGACAGCGGTGCGCGAGAGGGCCAGGATAGCAAGTTGAGATAACACGAGAGTTGCTAAAGCAAGGTGAGGTCAAGAAGACCAATTCCTGAGAAAGGAAATACGTGAACCTTCAATATGAGCGAGGGAAGGAAGGGCTTGAACATCTTAATTTCCAAACATCGAGACTTGTGCGCTGGGCCCCCCAAAATACTTCCCAAACCAGAATTCAGGTAGCTCACGCTGAACCTCTTTTGATGGAATGCGTGAAACTCATGCGAATCTAGAGTTCCGACAAATCCAGTAAATGGGAGTAAACTCATCACAAGTACGAGTGTTGCTTCTACGCCCATCCTTGGATCTGTGACTCCTTTCTTCACTCTATATACAGTCGTCAGTTCTCAGTCCGCGTATTGCGGCCAAACTGATAGGGCCTGGCTGAAACATAGTGGTAAAGCTCACCACCATAACACAATATGAAGGCAAACCATTGCATATGTGCCAAAACATGTTTGGCTCTCACTCAGGTTTGACGAACTCTCAAACACTATTCAGCTGAGGCACATTTCCAAATCTCCTTCATGGTTTCCTGGATTGACACGAAGAACTTTCGAATGCCACCCAGCAAACTACATGCACTCCTTGCCTTTAGGTTTCTTCGCCCACATAGGTTGCTTGATTTGCAATCTCAGCGAGAAGCTGACCAATTGCAGCAACCTCGCAAAACTCAATTGATTCAATGGACTCTACACGAATAGCAGAACAAAAAACACAAAAAGGTAAATGCTTGTTTAGTAAGGTCCTTTGGCATATCATATAAGTGATTGTAAGTGGAAATACATTATGACCTACTTTGGCTGAAAAGTAAGTCATGGTAAGTCACAATCTCTTTCTACTTGCCAATGCAGGAAACTTTATTAAAGAGGCCCTTAACTTACCGTCTCTGTTTTTACAAGTTTGTAAGCTTTGGACTCGCTCGTACTTGGGAACCATCTCCGCCATTTCAGCAAAAGTGTCGACCTTATAGTTTGAACAGGAATGCTGTGATTCGATGTGCCCTGCCATCGCTTCGACCTTCTTTCCATGTCCATGCTCAGTCATTTTCATTCAATGCTTGATTGTTGTTGAAATAAAAACAATCAGGAGATTCTCGCAACAACCCCCATCTCCACTCCATAAACAAAGTTTGCTTCGACGATCAATCTGCTCTGTAAGGCCTTTTGTTCGCGTGACAGGCCGCGTTTATGCACGCATGATTCCCGTTCGCCAATGGCACGTAGCCACGTGTATGCGCACTTTCCACATTCGCGGACGCAATTTCGCCGCGCCGCGCGTCACAAACTATCATGCGACACCGCACCACCCATTAGCCCGCTCACCAGGGACACGCCGTGTTTACGCCATCATGCTTCCTTTCCCCAATGGCACAAACACGTGCAACGCGCTTTCCACCATGGCCGGGCCAGTCTGCATCGCTGCGACGTCACATACGTTACTTCGCCACACATGTGCCACTGACTGACACTTGAGAGGCGGGGAACGAAAGCAATGACAACGACGAATGTGAGAACACCTTTTTGATTTTCTTTTTTTTGCTTAGTCTTCTTCTGCAAGTTCTTATCGCCCTGGGTGCAGGACATGGCAAATTATTCATGATTTGTTCAACTGTTTTGTTGTTCCGGACAAATAGTTTATGATAGAAATTGGCCACGGTGTTCGGCAAAGAAAAGATCAACTGGGCATGATGTTTGTGATGTCGTGTCCCTTTGGGGGGGGCCGTTTGTAGTGATGTTTCAATTGATCCCTTTGACTTTGGCCATCTAATCGTGAATCGTAAACTCGATCTTCAGCTGACCTCCGTCGGAGACCGCTTTCGTGACAAAGCCTCACTGACACCGCCACTCACCCCGCTCACCAGCGACACGTTGTATTTATGCGTTCGTGCTCTGCGTTTCCTAGTGGCGCAGAGCCATGCAAACAGCCTTTCCACCGAGGCCGCGCGAAACCACATGGCGCAGCAGCGCGGACGTAATTTCACGCGACACCACACCACCAACCTTTCCCGTTTCACCCTTTACTTTTACCTTTCACCAATTGCACGGACATGAGCAAACGCGCGTTCGCACATCGCAGATGTAATTTCGCGAGACGGAGTGCCACTGACTAGACAACGAGCAAACCTCGTAGACACCTCCCGCTCGCCAGCGACACCACGACACCCGCGTTCCGAGTCCGAGCTCCCAGACGCCGCTTCCCAAACTACACCTAAGTTGCCAGTTCTGAGGCCTCACGGCCTCACACAAAGTTGCCAATTTTGAGCGCCACCCACCTTGGCTTGCCACGACAGATACACGCTTTGGCAGCTTCCACTTTCATTTTCGACGACCGCTACACACTTTGGCACCATGCGCCTTGATTTTCCGCGACAGTTGCACACTTTGGCAACTTCCACCTTACGACAGTTACACACTTTGAGCGATGTGCCACATCCAACGGCAGTTATGCACTTTGGCCACTTCCACCGCGATTTTGGACCACAGCTACACAGTTTTGCAACTTCCAGCGTGTTTTCAAAGACAGTGACGCACTTTGGCAACTCAGCGCGCGCGATGAATTCCAAAATATGGTGTTCACCTGCGTGTATCTCAACACCTTTTTTTTCAATACCTGTTTCCAAACACCTGTACCTATGCAGTTGTGTCAAAGCAGGTGCATCACCTGCATCTGTGCACCTGGATGATTATGACAATAGATGACTATAGTACTATTGTTATGTCGATTATGGTTGGACAGGTGAAGTTGGCAGCCGTTCTTGATGGAGAACCCTTCGCAAGTGCTTGCGGAAAAAAAAACACACAAAATAGGACCGCACTCGTTCATTCGGCGAACTCGTCGTCCAGAGCAGGAAAAATCTTCTAATCATTGAACGAAAAAAATGTATCAAACAAGTCAAACATGTCGTAGTTGAGTGAAAGTCTCGCTACACATAAAGTCAAGGCCTGGTGGTTATGGAGTGCGAAAACGAGCTAAAGAATCCCGACAGAGCTTTTGCAAGTAAGATTTTGTCGATTTTGGCAAACCAAAGGAGCTATGGGAAACCTTCCGTCAGCTGAAGCACAACTTTTGAGACAGGCTCGACTCATCATGTCTCTGCAAAATCATACATGTTTCGAAAGAGTTTCCAGGGAGTGCCTGCACACGCACAGCCCCTTTGTGGCTATCGGCTATCCAAAGAAACCCTGGAAGAGCTGACAAGCGGTCGACATGCATTGAGGCTATGTGAGATTACATTACATTCTCGGAATGAGATAAATCTAAGGTGGAGGTATACAAGATCACCAGCGGATACAAGATCTGATACCGTAAGGTGGGCGTAGGCGTAGACTAGTACGAGAACCTACGCGTCTATGAGATGTGAGACGGCATGACTTGAGAGAAGTCAGTTTTGCCTGCAGGATCATGCAGGCCTGCTGGAGGACTGTGGGGCATTGGAATCGGCGAACGGGTTGTCGACTCCCACAATCAAAAAGACTGAACTAGGCCGTCGACAATTTCTTGCATCCTCTTATCCTGAAGCCCAGGCTGCCTGACACAGCTGACACAAGTGACACAATGCAACATGCGCACACGCATAATTAAGTGGTATAATAGTAGGACTTCAACACAAGGAGAAACACAACGTTGTCAACAACTATGTTAACAGTTAGTAATGTAAAGTTAACGACTCAAAGCTAAGCTTGACAGTTCCATTGTGCTTCAACACTGAGCCTATCCCCCGCCGAGCATTCCAGGTGAGGCCTTCGGAGCTGCGCTCGCAACCAGTGGATGCGGTCCTGCAATTCAGTCCTCGAGCATCAAACAAACCAAACCCAATGTAATGGATTCATGTCCTCCACTACGTTCACACGTAGCAGTAGCAGTGTAGTAGCAGCAGCCACGGCAGTGGTAGTTGCAGTAGAACCGATGCTCTCAAGGCATGTAAGCACTTTCATAGGACCGCGCACCTAATTGAAAAACTTTCACGCCCTGCCCTGCCCTGCCCTGCCACCATCGAGGCCATTGCACTATCGCTGACTGACGCAGCAATTCATCACGCAAAGCCTCTTCAAAACACAGCGAAGAACATTTGCAAAATATTGATTGCCAGAAGTGCAAGTTCTGTGAGCATCTTTCAGAAAACATTGGAAACAAGGATGTGGCCCACCAACGTCCGTGGAAAGATGCAAACCAAACTGAATCCTACAGCTTCCCATTCTACATACGTTTAGTACAGTACACAACCATACTCTTTCTCCTGTGTTCTTTCTTCGATGCAAAAAGCACGCGTTGTCAATACCCGGCCGCACCTCTGCACGCTGCTGCCAGGTGTCCTCAACGCCAAAGCTTGCCTGGAAAGCACTGCGCAACTCTGTTGGTGATACAGGCCAACACAGGCCACCTACAGCTGACTCGCTTGCGCTACAGTATCGAATGCACTGTGAATAATGTTCACTGCCTGAAGCGGCAACACAAACTGTGGCACAGGAGGGCGAAGGTCATGCGATGCCGAAAAACCCAGCAAAGCCGCAACAGCCCATAGGCCCAAAGGTTCGCTTAAAACTTATTATATATAGATTATAAAAGTGCCTTACCGCATTATGTTCTCCATGCGCTCTAACTCTCCAACCGCTGCATGCAGGGCTAGCCGCTTCCTCTGTGTGCAAACAAACATGATGAACAATGCTTTCCTAGACGCCGCGTGGATCTGCCACGCATTCAAACCAAGGTTCGGGCGGAAGTAGATGCATCGCTGGGAGCCTGCCAATCTGTGCTCCAATCGGTAGGACCGGGAGGGTTGCACGATTTCACAGCATGAACATGAAATGTCTCTTGCGGCCTCCTCAGCTCCATAGCCTTGCATGGCAAACTGTCAGCTCTCCATTCTTCCGAATGGGCAACAAAGTAAAGAGGACCTGCCTATCTGGATCTTGTTCAAGTGCTCTAGCCGTGCAACCCCTGAGCAATGTGAAGCGCACATTGAAAGACATGTTGCGGAAAACAAAGGCTGGGCTATAATACGCGGGCAGTGCCTAGGGGCATACCCTAAGGTACTTGCTCTTCTTGCAATCAAAGAGCTCTTGTTCGATTTGCTCCATATCCAACCTACTGCAGAGCATTTGCACTCTATTGGCTAGGAACCACACTATTTCAGTTTGACTTTCCTGCTCAAGGCTATGGCTGATTGTGTAGGCCTTCACCGCGTGCCTCATCAAAACTGGCTCACCAACATCAACATTAGGACATTTTCCATTCATCTTGCTTTTGAAATATGCAGCCATATTTGAACAAGCCTCGACACTCAGTTCCTCTGTGTTTATGCAAACTGGCCTTTGTGCAGTTTTCTGCTTCTATCTCTGCCACTTCCTCTTTTGAAACAAAACTTGGAACTCAGTGGTCTCAAAGAGTTTCATGTTTAGCTTTATTTTTGTCCTCTGCAGCAAGCTTTTGAAGCTCCTGCGCTGACATGAGAAACCAAAGCAGTGCAGGTTTTGGATGAATTGAATGATCCATGTGCTACAAACAACAACACCTTCTTTAGCTCTTGACCCAACATCTTGACATCGCTTGGCAAAATGATCTTGGCCTCGTCACACCTAACCATAGCGGCGCGCGCCTGGCTGTTCTCATCCAGCAGTCCACAATGAGTCCACAAGTGTCAGAATCTTTTTGCTTCTCTTTCCGCCAGCACTTACTTCCCACCTGATGTAGCCGGCGCTGCAATCTGTCCTTAACATGAGCACTTAAACAAATAGAACATATATATATATATATGTGCAAAAGCTTCAATGCATGCCACCACGTTCGTCCAGGTGCCACGTCGTTCGACCGCAGGGACTTCCGTTTCGGCCGGAGCCGGCAAAAGGTGCGCCCATGTGTGGTTGGCCGATCGGAGTCGGCCGGCTGCCAGTGTTTTCACATTGGTAGCGGAGCCCTGGCCACAGGGCCAGGGCTCCGGGTAGGATCCCGGCGCTGCAATGCATGCCGCCAGTTCATCGACGTCAGACCATGGAGGTCTTCGATTTTTCTCTGGTGAGACCGAGGATAACAAGGAGTACAAGAGATGGAAAAACTGGGTTCTAGCAAAAATGCTCACGCTCGACAAGATGCCGAAGGAAGCCAAGGGAGCGTACGTCTTCACGCTCCTCAGTGGCAAGGCTCTCGAATGCGTGGAGCATTTGGAACCATCCGCCTACCAGAAGGAAGGCGGTGAGAAAGTCTTGTTCGACCTGCTGGATCAGCGCTTTCCTCAGAAGGAGGTCACGGATGAGATGTCCGAGTCCCTCACCGAGATCTTCAATTTGAAAGCTGCTGACGGCGAGTCACTGAAGGCCTGGATCAGCAGGGCTTCCGAACTGTTTGATCGGTGCGCCAGAAAGACAAACGTCATCTTCCCCGACGAGGCCCGTGGTTGGCTCATCCTGCATCGCTCTGGGCTCAACGAGGAGCAGAAAGCTGTTGTTCTCGCCCGGAGTTTGGGAGTGATGAAAAGGGAAGAGATTGGCAAGGCTATGCGCAGCTGCTATCCTGAGTACGTGGTCTCGAAGAAGAGGACCCCTGCCGGTGTTGCGTTGTTGGAGGAAGATGAACCACCTCCTGAGTCAGCCGATATGGATGATTTCAACGACATCGAACAGTTCCTGGCTGAGTATCAGGGCGAGGAGGACATCAACGAGTCCTTCGAAGAGCCCGATGTGGCCGAGGCCTTGGCTGTGAGCTGGCGCGATAAGCGCCAAGAGTTGTCCAAGCTGCAAAAGGCACGAAATTTTGGTCGTGCCAACGAAGTGAAACGTTCCTTCCGCGTGGAGGTTGAGGAGCTCAAGAAGAAGACGAAGTGTCATCGCTGTGGACAACTCGGCCATTGGTCGAGGGAGTGTCGTGCTGGAGGTGCAAAAGGAAAGGGCAAGAACAAGTCCAAGAGTCAAGAATCCGGTGCAGCAGCCGTCGAAGCGACTGGTGATGAGGATACTTTCTTTGTTGCCATGGCTGCTCAAACGTCAGCACCCTCTCCATTGGATTTGCTGCGCTCCAAAAGGTTGGTGATGCAAGCCCCCCTGCTGCATGGATGTCCAGGAAACTCTCCTGGTGTCCAGCCCGGGGTTTGGTGTGATTGATTCTGGTTGCGGCAAGACCATCATTGGCCGCGAGACGCTGGAAGATTTCAAACAAATGTGGAGCCAAATGGGCATCAATTGCCCGTCCGTTGAGCTTGAGACCAACCACTTCAAGTTCGGGAACGGACAGCGTGAGACCTCCTCCGAGGTGATCCCAATGCCTGTTCGCATTGCTGGAAGATCAGGAGTTATTCGCGCCGCCATCGTTCAAGGCAGAGCACCGTTGTTGATTTCCCGGTCGGCGCTACAGAAGTTGAAAGCAACATTGAACTTCCATGAAGGCACCCTTACATTGTTTGGTGATGCAATCACTATTCCGCTGCAAACAAACACGGCTGGACAGTTTACATTGAATGTTTTGTCAGCATCCGAACCTTCTGGTCGCCGTGAAGTGCAGTTCAATGAGGTGCTCACAATGCAGCAATGTTCGGATCAATCAAGTGTGGATCCGAACCTCGAACATGCAGGAGATGCCTTGGACTCACCAGAGCCCAAACATGAGCCCATCGCCCAAGAGCATTCGTGCATAGGTCACTCCGCCTCCGAAGAATGTGGCAACTTGGATCTAAGTGTGTGGTCTAGGGAGGACAGTCACTTGACTTTGACCCCCATCACCGGTAAGAGTTGTCCCTTTTGGCACCGTGTTCATCGTCGTGTGATTCATGATTTAGACACTGGTAGCGTGATAAGTGATGAGACCATAGATCATCATTCCAAAGATAAGCGCACCTACCTTCGACCGATGCCAAAAGGAGTTGTTCGAGTCCGGACGGATTTCCACTTCTCGCCTCAGGAACTGACCAGCGCTATCGAGTGCCTTCCGGTCCAAGTGGCCCGCCAGCTGAGATCGCAGATTCGAACTGCACCCAAGGAGGCAGGAACGATGGTCGACGGGAAACGGTTTTTTGGTAGCTGAAGTGTTTAGTCCACCTCGTTTTGCACCGGTAGCCACAAGTCTGGGTTTCAGTGCTAGGTCTTACGACTTGAAACAAGGTTGTGACTTGTCTCAATCCCAGCAGCGTCACGAGGTCCAGCAATTCTTGGCTGACCACCCACCAGATCTGCTTGTTTTGTGTCCACCTTGCACATATGAAGGGGGGTTGGTTCAACCTTAATGCCTGCACCATGCACCCTGAAGAATACCTCCGAAAGAAGAGATTGAGCCGGCTGTTCGTTCGATTTTGTTGCGAGTTGTTTGAACAATAGGTGAAAGCCGGAAAACAGGCCATCTTCGAGCATCCCACTGGTGCGAAGACATGGTCATATCCGGAAATGGTCCGCCTTCTCAACAGGTTTCATGATGTCAGGTGTCACATGTGTCGATATGGTCTGAAGTTGCCATCAAGCTCACAATACATACGCAAGTCAACTCGTCTCTTGCTTAGCCATGAACACATGAAGAGATTAGGATTGAGATGTCCGGGGAAGCAAGATCCCCATCACACATGTCATGACATCGTAGCAGGGTCGGATAAGGAAGTAGGCTCAATCAGTCAGTTCGTGGCACAATATACTCCTGCCTTTGTACAGGCAGTACTGAGTACCACCACTGCCTTCGTCCGAACCAACCAGGCCTACATGGTCAATGCGCTTGAACCTTGCGCGATGGAAACGCATGAGCTCCTGGCTAGCCGAACCGATTTGCAGGGAGATGATGAATCCGCTATTCGTCGTGCCCTTCTCAAGCTGCATAAGAACCTAGGTCACCCAGGCACTCAAGACATGATTCGCATCCTGCGACACGGTTCAGCGTCGGCCAGAGCCATTGAGCTAGTTAGAACCATGGAATGCGATTTCTGCAAGGCTCAGATTCGTCCGCATGTCCCCCCTTCCGGCCAAGTCATCTCGCCAATACGAGTTCAACTCTCAGGTGGGCATAGATGTGAAATATCTTCCAGGGTGGCGGGTCAACCAAAAGATCAAAGCACTCAACATTGTTTGCCAAGGATCATGCTACCAGCAGGTAATTCCCTTCTATGAAAAAGAAACCTCTCAAGTGCTTCGTAAGTTGTTCGACACTCATTGGATTCAGTGGGCCGGTTTTCCCAAAGAGATCATCATGGATACTGCCAGAACCAACTTAGGGGAAGCAATGCAATCCTTCCTTGATGACCAAGGGGTGAACGCGCGAACGATTCCAGCTGAGGCCCATTGGCAGTTAGGTCGAACCGAATCGCATGGTGGGTGGTTCGCTCGGATTCTGGAGAAAGCCATATTAGAACATTCGCCCCAAAACCAAGAAGAATGGGAAGCCTGTGTGAGACACGCTCATGTCAAAAACCAGATGATCCAGAGCTATGGGTATACCCCTCACCAACATGTGTTTGGTAAGAACCCGACCATGCCTGGCGACTTGTTGAGCGAACCATTACATGTGGTACCAGGGACAGCCGGTCTTAGCGATGATGCTGTCGCCAAAGCTCAGTCCATTCGAGCAAGTGCCAGACATGCTGTGATTGCCCTGCAAGACGACAAAGCTCTCAGACATACGCTAGCCGCTCGACCACGAGCCACGATAACCTTTGTATACCAGGTGATCTTGTATGCTACTGGCGTAATCAAAAGTTCATTGGACAAGGGATGGTTCAAAATGGTGGTCGGTGGTATGGTACTGCAGTCATCATTGGTCAAATAGGTAAGAACTATGTCATTGCTCACCGAAGACAAATCTTCCGACGTGCGCCCGAACAGCTACGACCAGCGACCACTGAAGAACGGACTCTGGTGACCTCACCCCAAGCCGAACTTCTTGGAATTAAGGACTTGCTAGAAGGTGGTACTTTCCGAAGTCATCAATTCATTGACTTAGTTCCGGGTCATTACCCCACTCAAGAAGGTACGGAGACACCAGAGCCGGATACAGGAAACATGCCTGAAGTCCAGCCAGAACAGATTCGCGCCCTGAAGGCAGAACCCATGCCCGCGCAGTCTGCAGCACCGTTGGACTCTCCTCCGCCGCTGGTGTCCCAGCTGTCCTCATTTCCAGAAAGCACATCTATATCATCGTCCTCCCGGGACGGAGACAAAGTCGATTCCAATGTTGACCAGGCGAAACAGTCAAGCAGTAGCTATGGACCAGTTCGGAGGAGAGTTGATTCCAAGTCCGGCGCTCCTGCGTTGTACAGACCGCCCATGCTCCGTCAGGATGACTTTGTTGAAATAATCAAAGAAGCACTTCCACAACTGTTAGATGATGCTATCTCAGGTGAACAATCACAACCAAGCACGACAGACACCAACATGGAGCATGGACAGAAGAGAGCCCTTTCGCCAGATTCGTCTGCTGCCGATGAACCGGCGACCAATCGAGCTCGTCATGATGAAGTGTTGACGGTCGAAGAGGTTCATGAGTGTCTCCAGGATAGTGTCGAGGTCCTCATTGCTGCCCACATCCAGAAAAAGTTGAGTAAAGAGTTGTCCCCTACGAAGAATCCACCGGAACTTCAGAAGCTCATCGACGAATCCAAGTCGGAAGAATGGAGTACGATCAAGGATAAAGGGGCCATTAGATGGCATTTCGGTAAGAAGGCTAGACTGATCCGTGCTGAACATGCCCATCGATTCATAGGATCTCGCTTCGTCATCATTCGGAAAGCAGTCCAAGATGGCGTAAATGTGGATATCAGTGATCCCAGCACGTTCAAAGTGAAGAGCCGATGGGTCCTGCAGGGTCACCTTGATCCCGACCTAGCTGAAAAGGCGGCCTCAGGCCTCTTGCAATCGCCGACGCTCAGCCAGCTCGGTAGGATGGTCCTAATGCAAACCATTGCTTCCTACAAGTGGACGTTACAGCTCGGTGATATCAAGGGTGCGTTCTTGGAAGCCGGAGAGCTTCCAGAGAAGTTCCGACCCTTGTACGCTGAATTGCCGCCAGGTGGAATTCCAGGTTTGTCTCAACAGGATGTTGTCATCGAGATCGTAGGTAACCTCTATGGGCAGAATGACGCTCCGAGGGCATGGCACACTACGTTCGACAGAGAGGCGCTCAATGCAGGTTGGTCGAGATCGATTCTGGATCCGTGCCTCTATACTCTTCGTTGTCCACACACTGGTGACCTCCAAGGTATTCTCGGTGTTCATGTTGATGATACTGCAGTAGGAGGTAGTGGAACAAGGTTCGAACAGTCGGTCCTTCAGCTGAAACAGAGATTCCCCTATAGAAAGTGGCGCGTGTCTAGCGGTGAGTTTTGTGGGGCCATGTGCGAACAAGACCCAGGAAGTTTCGACATAGTCATGTCCCAAAAGAGCTTCGCCGAAGGCATGAGGCCCGCCACCATTCCCAAGGGAGTTCCACCGACACAGCAGTTGAACGAGCAACAGACTCGAGTTCTCAGGGCCATCAACGGCAGCGAGAACTGGATAGCCTCACAGAGTAGGCCAGATCTCGCATGTCAGACTAGTTTCTGTCAGCAAGGATTCCCAAATCCCACTATCCAGCACTTGAGAAACGCAAACAATGCAATCAGAAGGGCAAAACAGTTCAAGGACCTGAGTATCCGTTTCCGATCCATCGAACCACAGGCCTTGACCATCTGTTGTCACTCGGACGCAGCATTCGCCAATGTAGGATGTCACACTCAAGCAGGGTACATCTTGGCCTTTGGTCATAAGGATTTGCACCATGGTAAAGTGTCTCCTTGGACCCCGGTGACCTGGAAGAGCTATCGTCTGCCACGAGCAGTGAGCTCTACTCTAGGAGGCGAAAGCCAGGCCATGGCCAATGCAAGTGGCGCAGCAGAGTGGCTCTCGCTTTTGCTGTCAGAGACCCTCGACGGTCCTTTCCAGGCCAGGAATGCTCGAGAGCTACTTCAAAAGAGACCTCCCATGTTGATCCTCAAACGGTCCCCTATCCTAGCCACAGACTGCAAGAGCCTGTATGATCATTTGATTTCGCCATCATCACCTACAGCCATCGACGACCGTAGAACAAGTATAGACATTGTGATGTTGCGAGAATCTTTGAAACTAACAGGAGGAGCAATAAGGTGGCTTCCAACTGGTTGGATGTTGGCCGATGGCCTTACTAAGGATCGACAAGAGCCTGCCGACCTTCTCAGGTCTTGTGTGCGCCAAGGGACATACCAGATTGCCCCTGAAGACACCGTACTTCAACAACAAGCTGAAGAAAGAGAGCGCCGCAAGAACGCAAAGAATAGCAGCTCCGGAAATTAACTTGTGAAAGATAAGCCATTTTCTCAAATGTAATGAACCAGTCAAGGGAGACTGTTCGGGTCATTGAGTTTGCTTGCCTTCCGACAAGTTGCACATGCATGTTTTTGCGCGTTGTAAATCAATAAAAATGTTTTTGTGAAGATAGATTCTCAGTGCAAGTTGTGATGACTTTAGTAACAGTTGAGAAGAGCCTTCGTGAACCTGTTCAAACATTTGCTGGTTTGTGCCTGTTTAGAGTTTGTGGATCAAGTCATCAATTCGACCGATCGTGTTTCATTTTGTGTGTGACTGCTCATCGGACAGCATGTCACTTAGCCCAGAAGAGCACGCCGAGCTCCAACGCCTGCTGACCAAGGCGTCCGCAGGAGGTGTTCCACCGTCCCTGAGCCTCGAAGATTCGGGAACCAAGGTCAGAGACAGCGACGATCAGGATTCTGGTTTCAGTTTGATTCCTTTTGAGCACTCTTTGGCAGCAATGACCGATGCTTCCAAGCGCCGTGAAGATGATTCATCGTGTGTCCCAAATTCCAAGCGAGAGCGAGGAGGAACAGGCCTTTCTGCCTATCCGAAGTTTGTGGCATCACCAACCTCATCGCCAGGACTGGCTTCGTATGCAGGTGGAAGTCATATGCCTCGACCAATGCCCAAGTCGACTCATGTCGAAGGTTTGCCGGACATTCCTGAGGACATTTCGTCCATTGAGCAGTGGGGAAAATCCCTCATCCAGTTTGGACAGTATAAGGCGACCGGATGGTCCTATGAAGACCTTGCATCGGCAACCGATGACCGGGCCGTGTCATATGTGAAGTGGGTCAAAGCCCGAGTCAAGTCCTCGACCGGACTACTTCACGATTTAGCATGCTTCCTCGTCCGTTTTGAGGCTGAGCGAGACATCGCTCGTGATCTTGCATGGGATGGACCTTGCATCCCAGGAACCGACGTGCATCGCACCTTCAAGAAGTAGTAGATTGAAATGCATACCTTCCTCTATCTTTAAAAGACAGAAGAAAATAGAACCAGTGCAAAAGCTTCAATGCATGCCACCACGTTCGTCCAGGTGCCACGTCGTTCGACCGCAGGGACTTCCGTTTCGGCCGGAGCCGGCAAAAGGTGCGCCCATGTGTGGTTGGCCGATCGGAGTCGGCCGGCTGCCAGTGTTTTCACATATGTATACAGTATATATATACATATATTTGTCAGCTGATGGTGGGGAAGCGCGCCAATGGACACTGGGCTTTGCAAAGTCCTCAGTGTTTGTTGGTGAAGGAAGGCGGGGGGGCCTTGGGATAGGTTTATTGCTGGTAGAAATGCGGACATATTTCGGTGGAATTCGATTGGGTAAGGGTGTGGTGTAGCCTACCGTTGGGGTGTCTGGGAGAGGGTAGGCTACAGCTGCTGGAAAAATATTTTGTTGGTAGAACGTGATGTTTGGAACTGTGCGGATGCGTTTTGGCGAGAAAAAAAAGAGAGAGAGACAGAGAAAGAGAAGGAGAGAGAAAGAGAAAGAGAGAAAGATAAAGATAAAGAGAAAGAGCGGAAGAGAAAGAGAAAAAGATAGAAAGAGAAAAAGAGACAGAGAAAGAAAAAGAGAGAAAGAGAAAGAGAGAAACAGAGAAAGAGAAAGAGAGAAAGATAAAGAGAGAAAGAGAGACAGAGAAGAGAGAAAGAGAAAGAGAAGAGAGAAAGAGAAAGAAAGAAAGAAAGAGAAAGAGAGCAGGAGAAGAGCGAGAGAGAGAGGGAGAGGGAGAGAGAGAGAGAGAGAAAGAGAGGCAGAGAGGAAGACAGGAAGAGAGGAAGAGAGATGGAAGAAGAGGAAGAGGAAGAGACAGAGGAAGAGGAAGAGGAAGAGAAAGAGAGAGAGAGAGAGTGCAAGAGCAAGAGCAAGAAGCAGAGAGGAAGAGGAAGAGGAAGAGGAAGAGGAAGAGGAAGAGGAAGAGGAAGAGGAAGAGGAAGAGGAAGAGGAAGAGGAAGAGGAAGAGGAAGAGGAAGAGGAAGAGGAAGAGGAGGAGGAGGAAGAAGAAGAAGAGGAAAAGCAAGAGAAAGAGAAGGAGAAAGAGGAAGGGGAAGAGGAAGAGAAAGCCCACCCCTTCCCTCCCGTTCGCCGAAGATAGCTCTCTCGTTTTCGGGGGCCCCTTACCAAACTTTCTTCTGGTTCCGTCCCCCTTTGCCTTCCGCTTGCGGGGCCCCTGTCCGGCTGTTGAGCGTAAGCCCTGACATGTATAGCACATGTTTTATATGTCTGTTTGAACATTTTTGAACTCTTTCTGGAATCTATGTTCCAGAACTTCAAGGAGATACATCGATGTTTTCAAGCAGCTTTAACAATTTCGCCATGACTCTTCTATGACTTTGATTAATTTTGCCCACCTCGGCCACTGTGGAAGTCATGGTGGCTGCGACGCCTGCAGCATTCATTGATTCTATTGATATAGCTTCTGGGTCGTTTGGGTGACTTGTGCCTGCAAACTGCGTGACTGGTGTGCAGCTTGGGGAGCTAGAGCTTAAGCAGCTTGCTCCGAAAGTCCCTTGTGGACTCGCAAACCTTTGAGGTCTCACACTGTGAGGTGGACCAAACCGGACTTTATCGACAAAGAAAGGCGAAGATTCAGGTGTCCTTGGCAATTCACAACAAATCAATGACTTGCTCTTCTGGTGTGTACATGGTGCCCCAGGTCACAAGCATTTGTACTTTTCAACGATTTGAAGTCAAGCATGGTGGTTCCGCTCTTCACTCGTGCTGAGAATGGCCGAGAAAAGTGGGATCTGGTCCGGTGCTCTGAGGAGGCGGCTGAACATCTTGTGCTACAAATATGCCTTGGCTGCTTGTTACAAAGAAGTGGACAGTTGACACAATTGCAGAAACCAAACACTCAGTGCTTCTGATCCGGCTTGCAAACAATTGATGAGGAGCGCCTTGTTTGGTCATTGAACAAACTTTTTGCCGAAAAAAACAGATGCACTTAATATTTTGGCAAACACCTTGACAAACTCTTTGAAAACTCTTGAGCGCTTGGATTCGGATCGTATATCTTCTACGCTCTTCATGGGAACCGAACCTGTGTCCAGCGCTTTAGGGCTTGCTCGCAATGCTGCTGGACGATCGACTGTGGACTCATGGCCCGGATCCTGGGCGAGAGATCCCTCTGTAGAGCAACATAAAGAGAACACCTGACCTTGCAATTGCACCAAAAGACAAAAAAAAACTTCTTCAGAGCAAAGGCAAACACGTGAGCTGCTTTCTATTGTTTTTGGGTGAGCTGTCGAGCTCCTTCAACTGCGGCGCTCGAGCTGCTTGAGGCAAAGTTGAACCTCAAGAATCAAACCAAATCACCTGACATTGACTAAATAAAAAGGTCAATATTGACAAAGAACAACCAAAGTGGTTGACCTTGTACCCTTGAATGTTAACGGCATGCCCTTTCGTCTCATTTCTGTTCATTTGTGGAACTGAGCCCTTGCTCTCCTATCTGTAATCCTGGACTTAAGTGCCAGCGCAGTGTTGCACGACCCCCGAAGGCCGCAGGGCAAACGCTGGAAACTGTCCACTGTACAGTACAAACACCACAATACAATGCTACTAACGCAACTGTATCATGCAGACCAAACTATACAACTTACAATTCAGGAAATGACAGCTGAGAAATGCCGTGCTCGAATATCAGAAGCTTGACAGTGCGAGGGTGATAATAAAGAACTACAACTGAACCCACTCAAAAACTGCAACCATCTATCAAACAGTTGTTCTTTGGAATGTTCTTTCACCTTCAAGCGTCAAGCTGCAGGCGCACTATTTACACAATGTACAAACTGCTGTCTTCCCTGAACAGTGTGGTTGACTGTGTTGACGTCGCAGCACGCCAAGTCAAAAGCCTGAATTTCAAGTTGCTAACCGGATCTGAGTTCAAAAGGCGCTAAGTTGAACAAAGGCTTCGCCTTTCACCTCAAGCGCCAGGCGCAAGGCGCCTTTCCTGATTCTTCTCGTGGCAAATCAAAGCAATGTCAGCACCAAAAGGGCTAGTTGGATCTGGCCAAGAAATCTTTGGACTCGGTGGCCTCTGTTGGCGGCAGGGCTCAACAAAAATCCTACACAAGTTGTTAATTACTTTCATTGCAAACCAAGGCCTTCAAGCAGTCTTGAATGCAGTTCAACTGCTCTCCCTGTTTCCACCTCAACAAACATATCGACTTGCTCCACGAGCTTCAAAGCCATTGGAACGTCAAACAAAACCCTCCGAAGGAGCCAGAAGTCTGTCTACAAACAGGAAGTGATACTGTGATACCAGTGCCCTTTGACACGTTATGAAACCAACCTAGAAGCAATTGTCTTCTAGTCTTCTGGTGTTTGAGACTTGCATGCTCATGTCTAGTCTAGTAACTACTGCCACTTGTGCCCAGTCTTTTCCATGCTCACACTCTTGTGCTACGAACTGTCGGCAATTGGCTAAGGACTGAGAGAGCATGCTCAAAATGATGAAACTGGTTCCATTGGCTTGCATTGCATACAAGGGACAAATAGGAACAGGTTGCCTTGTTCACAAAAAGGCGTGGAATGGAATCCCAGTAGTGAATGAATGGGCTCAGGAATAATATATAATGCAAGTGTTTGATTCAAGCTGCCACGCTGAGACAGCCTAGAACCAAATGGTATTGCTTTCCAAACAGTGCGGCAATCGCGTAGTGCGGCAGTGCTGGCCTCACCAAACTCTCCTCGCCTTTTGCGCAAAGCATCATGGCAGCCTTGGCACCTAAGGGGCTGCCTGCATCTGGCCAAGAGATGCCCATCTGCACTGCAGTGACACCTTGCAATTGAGCTCACTTGGTCAACTCTCACTGATTCTCTTCAGTGCGAATTCTGAGTTATGTTAACTAGTACGAGGGACTCCCACACCGGGCATGCCCAGCAACCCTGCATACCAACCGCAAAGGGAACACAAATCTACAAGGTATCAACATGTATCAACTAGCAATTGGCACAATCACACCAGGTTGAGTGAAATGAGATGAGAATCTATGAACCGATGACATGTAGTAGGCCAGCTGAATCCAGCTGAGTTTTAAAAATACTGCATGTGGTAGTAGGCCACCATCGACTTGAGTATTGTAATTATGGATTATGGGTTCTGGTGACCAATTTACACGTGCTTTTGCCCTCTGACTGTAGGGAGGGGACTCTTACACCTCAATATGCTCCAAAACGATCCGAAACGCAGATTCAATTCAAGCCTAGATGTGATTGACAGGACCAAACGAGGTTAGGCAAAATGCAGGTTTTTAAACTGGCTGAAACAAAGAAAACAAAGAACTGGTGGTACTAGGAAGAACTGACTCAAACGAAAAAAACAAATAAAAAACGTGAACTACGTGTTCAAGAACTATTGACACTTGGTCCCGTTACCTCCTGTATCGATATGCTGGATACTGCAAGGTTTGCTTAACAAAGAGTCTGTCCGTAAAGCGCCGTGTTCGCCCCCCGTCTGGTGCTCTGCTTGGTGTTCATGCAGCTCTGCTGGTTGACAAAGGGGCCAGCCTGTCACAGCATACTGATGATTATATAATATGATTAACGCGCCCCAATTTCATCCTTTAAAATTCTTACTTAATAACTGTCCGTTGTTGAATCAGTCATACAGGTATCGGGGATGGACCTTGCACCCAAGCGAAGTGCCGCCATTTATTTGTTGCTCAGCAGTCCGCCGGGCCTCCATGGTATCGTTCCTTATAGGAATGAACCTTGCCACGCTGAAGATGCAAATGGTCCAAAGATCACCAAAGATCCAACAAAAATTAAAAAAAACTTTGGCAATTTTTCTTAAGCCGAGCACGGCATCGCGAATCTAGCGGCTTTGGCGCTCTGGCACTGATCCAGAAATGGTTTCTGCAGTTTACTCGCGGCGTTGACCCATGCACAAAGCCAAAAACAATCCATCGGTTTTATGAGCACGCAGGAAACACTGCAATCAAAAGCATCGCTTTGAAACTAACAGTTGCATTTGGACATTCTTGCTGCTTGACGAATCAATTGACACACACACACACTGTGGCATGATTGCTGCGACATACTCTGCAAAAATATGCGACCTCAAGGAATATTCAGATTGCTCCACCAGACAGCTGTTTTCCTCTTACTTCGCTCAAGGTCTGCGTTGGATCAGGGAACTTGGCGCAGCCCACTGATGATGTTATTCACATCTCGAACCCATTTGCTGTGAACCTACATACATGAGTTGCTCCCCCAAGGCATCCGAGGCGTGCTCTGGGGTGTTGATTCGTTCTCCCCCCGCTGCTCCAGAGCGCCAAGCTGGGATACAAGAGTGCTGGTGGGTTCTTCCAACACGCCGGGATCGGGAGGTGCCAAAGTTGCACCTAATGCCATGGCTTCATGATGGGAAGATGGGATGGACCTTCTGCTATGTTCGAGTTACTTTCCACTCTATTGAGGTAGACAAAAGGGCGCCTTGCGACGAGCAACCAGAAGTCGCCAACCAGTGAAGAGCTGTCCACCTTGGGTGAACAGCCTTTAATTAAGCTCAGGCGCTGTTGTTGTTACATCGATTCAGGTGTTTTAAAGCCTACCGGAGCGGCCAAGAGGCGTCAGGGACTGTCCCAGCAGTGTAACTTTGAAATTACTGCGGGGGGGGTGGCCTTCTTTTTGAAAGCAATCTGTGTCTCCATGCGGTCTCCTGCTGCTCAGAAGCGCCTGACCAGGTGCATCTCGAGGCCTAAAGCTCTCAAAGGACGTCCTTCTTCCTCCCTCCTCTGACAACGCCACCCCTCCTTGTGGAGATCAAGAAAGGACTGTCTTTCTGTAAGCTCCCTGAGTTCAAGAACTCCCAGGGGTGACCGGGCCGGAAAGAGCTTCTAGTGAGACCATGGTGTTCAAAATGGTCTCCCCTTCCTCACCCTTTCAGATCACGTCGAGGATCTTTGTACTTGGAATACCTTGTTCGAGCACCCTCGCTATCTCTACTCTGGCCGCCCACCCACCGCCATGATACCAAAGGTTTTCCCCAACTTTCCACAGTTAGAACATGTTATATAGCACCGCTCAGTCGGGCTTCATCCTCCGATCTCTTGGCGGTGTTTCTCGACATGGCACAGCCTCGCTGTCGAGAGTCAGCCATCTCTCCCCCAGCTGTCAAAAGCGAGGGGGATCGACAGCTGTCTCTCGGTGGGCTTGTAGCCAAAATGGCAACGTCGGTTACACTAGTAGAACATTCACTTTAGTACCAAAGGCACAAGTTGTGTGCACAAGTTCGACAAGCCTTCACACGTGATTCACAAGCTTCTCAAATCCCCAGAGCTCTGCGCCTTGGAAAGGTTCACCTCAAGCTGCCAACCAACCCTTTTGATAAAACGGGAACAACATATAGATACTAAGTAATTACTACAATCACAGTCAGTATCACTTTTGTGAGTTCTGCGAACACATCCGTTCCGCACAACGTGCACGGTGCAGGGGAAAGCCTAAATTGTATGACATCCTGTATCAATAATGAACAACTTGGCTCGAAGGCTACGTGAGGTAAGGTAAGCAAACAAATCATAACTCCAAACCAACTAAAGCTGACCGAGGCAAATGAGCCCACTTGGGACAGGCTGGAATACCCTTCAGGCTGGCACTGAGGCAGGCGTTTAGCATGTATGCCCGAATTGCCCGAGCGTTCGGGACTGGTGAGGTTGGAGTATTGAGGTCCCTGCCATTCACAGTTCGCAACGAAGTTCATTTCCCAATATTCCATTGATTCATCATGCACTTCTTTTGATCACCATGCACTTCTTCTGATAACCATGAATATTGATCTTTACTTTTCAAGCGGATGTATTTGTCCGTTCACAGACATATTTGATTTGTTTTCACATGCCAGTCACACAGTGGCGGACTGAAGCGGGTCTGAAGCACCTGCAAAGCAGCTCAAGCATCGCATCCGATCGTAAAGCTCTCTTTTCAAGCCCAAACAGTACCACTTGGAATACCTCTGACTGCATATGGTGTACGTTCGAGGTGTTTCATTTGAATTCGCTTAAGGCTCGTGCCTGTCGCTGACCCACAGTGAGGCCAACGGAAACAGCATTACGGACATTTCCAAAAATTTCAGTGGTTTTGTGCTTTCTTTCGGATCTGAGTTTGTCGGCGCACTGCACATGTTGTCTTCACACGTTTCACCAATATGCCTAAGCGTCATGATAACTAAGCTACACATTTTTCAAGCACGCCCCAGCGTTATGTCCGTGCATCTTTGATGTTCGAACAGGGAAGAGCTACGTGCAACAAGGTAGCTCACAAATCGACACATGCCTGGCAACAGGAAACAAAAGGCAACATCATGATCTCGCACAGGGCACAGGGCTGTAATCCAGTTTTAGAGGGAAACAGGAAACACTTGACTGTTTGGAAAATGTGGCGATGCTTTGGCGATGTGTGGGATGAGAGATGCAAATTAGACGGCTCAATCTGTGAAGAACCAGAACCTCCATCTGAAGAACATCTTAAGACTGTTCTGGGCCATTGGGCAACCTTTCTGAAGCAGCTGAACGCATTCGTCCCCGGAGCTGTAACCATGAGGGGCACCCTGGAGACCCCAAACTAGAAGGGGAGAACAATCTGAAGATCCATGCCATGGACCCAGCCTCACTACCAAGCCTTGGTGCAGGAAGAGAAGCCTGCCATGGGCACAAAGGATTGAAGCCTTGTCAACTCACTCAATCTGTGGTTCTGAGTGACGAAAATTGTTCGTGACCCTTCCGAATGGGAGTCATTTCTACTTCCTCAATTGTTCCAAGTGCGTCAGGGTGTGGCAACACCTTTTCCAAATCGATTCAGGATGATTCTTCCACACGTTCCGGCGTCAAGCGCAAGGTCCTTCATCTTCTTCCTAAAAAGCACAAATAGGCGGTACATTCCCAAGCCACAACGAAAGTATGCAAAGGCGCTGAAACATTCTCAAGTATGCCGTGATGTTCGGCAGCAATATCGGAGCTTCACTGACACTGAAACTGCAGCCGTGATACTGAAGAAGACTCCCAAAGTGGCTCTGGTTCGCCAAGATCTTTGATGCTTTGGAACAAATCTTAGTAGGTGCAGGTTCAAACGTTCAAACGTATAACCTTCGAGTTTCAACTACGCCGTGACACACCAACCCAAATACTGCAAGGACGCGTTGCTATGCGTTACCTGTTATTTTTTTGCGAATCTGTCAGCACAACACACAAAGCTAAACCTCAAGCGGACCATGACCATTCATTGCAGAATTCTCTCCAGTGCCAAATGTTGGAAGGAGAAGTAATCCAAACCAATGCACAGATTTCACAGTGCAAGTAGATCTCTTCAAAAGAAAGAATGATTTGCATCCACGTTACAAATGAAACACAAAGTAGATCAAAGACGGTCAAAAACTGCCTTTAATGCAATTATCAATCGCAACGAAGATGAAGCATTTACCGCATGCTGAGGGCGCTTGTCTGTCTCAGCTTCAGACCATCGAAGGTTTCGCCAGGAGAATATATCCTTGAGGACTCTGAGATCTGAGAAGTTTAATGCTGTGCTTCTTGACAACTCTAACTAAAACAACATAATTATATATATAGTATTATATAGTTGTAAGTAGCCGAGCAAGGCAGTTCTCTGTGCCTCATCTGCACCACAGCGAGGTATGCCATAAAAAACCGTAAGCACGCCTGGGTCATAAAGGTCATGAAAACATCCAGTCGGAGAGCTTATGCAGTCTAAAGGTACACTCCTGTGTCAAAATATGCCAAAGAGCTACGAAGTCTGCAGGCTGCAACGGTTCTTGCACTGTTCGCATTTCTTGGTCCCTAGAACTTTTGGACACGTCTTTCACTTCCCACACCACACAGAAAGACCTTGGTACAGTGCCAAGCCACAGCAAAACAACATTGGAGCGACAACGCTGTCGTCGAAGACTGGGCAATCTAGAGTCGTCCAACCTGCAATGCTGTTACAGTAGTACTACGGATGTGGACGGTTAGATATTTGACATCTTAGGCATGTTCTGTGTATATATATATACACATTATATATATATTTATACTATTCAAATCTAATACAGTAAATATATAAAAAATACATCTTGCAATCTTGCATCATCATTGTCTCATGAAAACTCTTGTGTTTTCTGATCTGAACTGAGGGCAATGCTCGTGGTGTAATTTCCACCAGGAAGGCTCGTCTTCCCTACTTGTAGTGGAACAGGAATGCCTTGGCAAAATCGCAAGTACTTGCCCAAAATGAATTGCAGTAGAAACTCTGCAGCCGAAGCACTGACCTGCTTCGTTCCAAGTGGAATAAATCCGAGGAACACCTTTCACAGCAGCTTTGAGGAACAAATCGATGGGTCCTACTTCTGACCAGCATTCACTGCAAGATTCGAGGGAAACTGCACAATGGTTACAACATGTTACAACATGACAACAACAGAAAAGCATGGCTTCCTAAACATAAGGCTGGACAAAGAAGGAAACCAGGTGACCAGAAGTCGACAGATTTACCGCGCACTCGGGCAATCAAATGAGCTTTCAAAATAATGTGGAGCTGAAGCTGCGTACTTCAGCTACAATAATAATCATGAACATTAAACATATTATATAATGTTAAGACGTAAGGATTAGCAAGGTAGTAGCAAATGGAAGTCGAGCAGCGGAAGCTACTGGTAGTCTCGTAGCTGGAAGCGAAAGAATCCATCGCCTGGTTAAACGGTTCCTTGAACTTTTCAGACATTGAACCTGCTCTGCGTTGCATGTCGTTGCTTTGGTCGTTAGGCTCTTGCGGATGGAAAAAAAGCCTTCCTGCAAGAAGTTAGATGGACTTCTGTGAGTCCATCTCTTGTTCTCTCACGTTCTCTCATGTAGATTTCATTGTGCGTACAAAACCCAAGTAGCATTCCAAATCCGTGCTCACCATGTTCACATGTCCAGTGAGACATTTGCCTTGCGCCACCACAACAATGCGCCCTTGGATGACATTCCATGCTCATCCATTCTCATGGACCCCTACCATTTCATGAGCAGGCTCAAGTATCCCAAAGAATCACATTCTTTGATGAAAGATCCAATCCAAAAGACTTTTTACTGTACTCCTCGGCATTCGATCAAACAACGGTCTCACGGTCTAAAATCCACACCTTCACTAGTGGAAGCTGAAGGTAGCAGCCCCCTGTAACCGCTTTCCTTTTGAAGTTGTAGTCATTGTCTGGATCTACAGCCTTATACCTTGGCGAGCCAAACAAACGGTAACCACGTTTGAACCCCGCCAAGACATTGTGGGTGCCCATCCTTGTAATCTTGCAATACCTCAATCCTTTGCGCAATCTGTGACAAACACCTCTGTCCAAACGTCATACAAAAGGTGCACTTCGTCCGTTGCTGAGGAAATAATACCTCAGCAAAAGATCTTTGAGCGAATTGCCAAGAAGGTGGCGGGGGCAGGCCCCAATCACCAAAGGAACTATTGAACTAGAGCAACGTTAAGTCTTCATTTTCCCTCAGTTGGCAAACTTTCTCTGCTCAGTCACCAAAACGAGCCAGCCAATGAACAGAACAACACAAAGGATGTCCAAAGCTGCAAAGGCGCTAAATCCAGCTGATCCCACGAAGGTAGATAGAACTTGGCAAATCAGGATTGCGGTGGAGATTCCAGGGCTTACAACCTTGAAATCAGATGGTGTCACAAAGCGACGGAAAGATCGGCTCGGCAAAGGGTCATTCAGGAGAGTGTTGCTTTCAGTCAGCTCAATGGCAACATGTCCGGTTTACTACTACTTATAACATGTGTAGTTGACCAGCTGGAGTGACCCAGAACATTCGAGAACGATCATCGTCGCTCTGTTTAGAAGTTACAGTTGCTGTAAGTCGGGACAATTCTGAGCTTGAAACCAAACTTGTGCTACAATCCTCTTGTTTGAAGGCCGCAAAAAAGTCGCTGTCGCAGAAAGCTTCGGTTGCTCTTCCTCTTGGGGTTGTCGAGGACTGACTCATGCCAAATTTAGCTTGTTTCACACAGATGTTGCCAACTAGCGGGAAGTCCATGCTTTATTACCTTGAACGTACCTGCAACATGGTAAATTGCTTTGCCGAGTGGGAAACATAGTTGCATTATGTTGCGTTCCCAAAGGTGCTGGACTGACATCGAGCTTGCAGCTTGCTGTTCCTTTTCATTTGCTGACTGACTCTTCTTCCGGTGACTGACCTAGCTGAGAACTTTGTCCTTTCTGATCGCGAGTCACCGAGTCACCCCTCAACCGATGGATCCCCAATTCTTCCGAACCCTCAAGTGAATGCAAAGACAAAGACCGATCTCGGCGGGTCTTGATCGGGTAATTGCTGCATGCTGATCATGTTGCTGCTGCTGTCAGTTTAATTGTCAGTTTGATTACAGGAGTATCGGACTATTGTTGCGTTTCCATATAGTGGCCCTGACTAGGGTACTGAAAAAAACGGAAAATACCTTTTGTGCTGTGTTCCAGAGAGTCTGCAGGAAGAGGTGCAGTTTTGTTTCGCGAAAACCACGAGCACAAGGCCAATCTGGACCTCGCAAAATGTGACACCTTATAACCTGAACCTGTGACCTGCCTGCACCGAAAACTGCTCGGCGCTTGCTGAGCAGTGTCGCATCCGAAGTCAAACATAGTTATATAATGTTATATATATAATACATGTGTTTGGAAGGTTGCTTGAAGATATTGCGACACAAACGGGAACAAACGGCACTAGTAGTGAGCCAGAGCTGACGTAGCTACGAGGATACCTTAAAATTCAAAGGCGAATCCCACTCACATGCTGACTGGTTTGGCTGAGAATGGTACTGCAGCCTCAACGCACCATCCGTCCTTACAAGGATGGATGCGGAAGCCACCATATTGGTTGAACTAGCAAAGCTCACACGACCTACTCAAAACATTTCAAACGTGTTTGGCACTTTGCAAAAGCTTCACCGAGCAGCCTCGTCTTTGTGAACGCTTGTTGGAATCACGCTGAGTGCTACCTGTGGAGTCCAAGGTGGGAAATAAAACAAATGAAGGCAAGCGAAGGCAGGGATGTATTTCTATCAATTGGGCGTGGACATGCTTCGCATGGACATGCCTATTCAAGCCATATCTGACATGGAGGCCATTTTTCTTTATATAGTCTTATGTCCAACTTTTTGACACCGCTTCACCATTGTCCAACATACTTGAACGTATACAATCAACTTATGGTGCCTGTGAAATGTGCAGCGATCGCCGGCCCTTCGACGCGACATCTTGGACCACACGGCACCAGCCCGGTGTGGGAGGGCATGAGGAAGACTTGAGACCACGGAAAACGGACAGTTGGACAGGGATCCATAGGAGCAGGGGTGGTGTTCAATAGGTTCACCTAGGTAGATTCACATTGGTAGCGGAGCCCCCAAAACATAGGGGGCAGGTTTTCATTCTCGCACACGGGGCGTGTTTCGCGAGCCATGGGTGGGGGGCAAAGGTGGAAACTCGGGAGCGAGTTCAGATGGTGGCTTGGGAGAAGGGCATTCTTCCTTTGCTACTAGCCAACTGCCTTGGAACCAGATACCCAGCTTCACAGCTGAGAAGTCCGACTTGGAAGACTATGCACAGAAGCTGATGTTTCTTCATTCGATCTGGCCTGAAGAGTATATTGCTCACCTGGCTCCCCGTGCAGCCTTACAGTGTGATTCAGTGTCCTTCAAAAAGGTCTCCAAGATCGATCCGAGTTGCCTCAAGTCCAAGGATGGTTGTGAAGAGATCCTCAAGGCATTGGGCATGCAGTGGGGTCGCTTCCAGAACGAGGATCGCTATGTGAAGTTTGAAAGGGCATTGTTCCTGACGGCTCAAAAACCAGATGCAAGCAATGATAGTTACATTGCCAGGCATGAAGCTTGCTTCGAGGAAATCCTTCAGAAAGACAAAGGTGTCACGCTGGAAGAGATTCGCGCCTATGTGATGATTAGGCACTCCCAGCTGACTGGCGAAGAGAAAAAGAAGATCATCGTGGACAACAAAGGAGAGTTGACCTACGAAGCAACTCGCAATGCGAGGCTTTTGGGCTCCAAGTTCTTTCAGGACCTTCAAGGAGGTGGTGCCAAGAAGTGGAAGACGTATGACGTCCATACCGTGGACGAGACCGAACCAGTCTTCGCCTCCGTAGATGAAGTGGTTGATGAGAAACAGGCCTATCAGGTCATGTTGGAGCAAGGAGATGCGGATGCGATCTTCATCCAGGAGTTTGAGGACCAGATCATTGAGGCCGTGCAAGACTCAGGTGACTTGTCAAGCTGTTTCATGAGCTATCAAGAAGCCAGAGCTCGTTTGCGTGAACGTGCAAGGCACAGAGGCTTCTGGCCCCCCTTGTGCTCCAGCAAAAGGAAAGGGGTTCAGTGGAAATGGAAAGAAGGGTGGCAAGGGATATGGTTCATTTCCCCCTCGACGAACATTGGCTGAACGGATCGCAAATTCGACTTGTCGGATCTGCAACAAGCTGGGTCACTGGAAGAGGGAGTGTCCTCAGAGACAATATCGCCAAGAACGCCAAGTGGACATGGCCACCATGGCCGAGGAGTTGTCGGACCAGAATCCACCTGAGCTCCCTGAAGACCTGCCGTACGAGATCCAGGAACCTGTTGAGAACCATTTTGTTCAACCTTTTTCATTTAGTTCCCCTGTTGTCAAGAGCGATGACTTGCAGAACCCCCGGATTCTGTCAGGGGACGTTGTGGAAGAGTGTATGGTGATTTTTGATAGTGTAGGAATGTGTAGGATTTCGAGAGAAATTGACCGAAGCTCTCAACCGTACTGCAAGGCATCGCGGTGAATGGTCTCAGCGACGATCAGCCGGAACGCATGAAGCGAAAAGCTTGAGCCAGACTTTCTCCGCCCATCAGTAGCCCCACCCCCCGCCACACAACGCCCAGAGGAAACGAGTGCAGAGGCCATTTTGGACACGGGAGCAAGCCGTACGATCATTGGTAGTGATAGGGTCCCCCAGTTGGAAAGGGCTTTGAAGGGCATAGAGATTCAGCGCGGCCCATCACGGTGCGTGTTTCGCTTTGGCAATAGTGGTTTGCTCCATAGTGAAGAAGCACTGTTTTTGAAACGATTTGGACAAGGCTGGTTCCGCGTTGAGATCGTGCCCGGAAGCACTCCTTTCTTGATCTCGAATGCCGTAATTGAAGGGCTGAAAGGCATTTTGGATGTTCACATGGGATGTTTGAGTTTTCATGGTAGTGATGATGTGTTGAAGTTGAGGCAGGTGAGAAGGAAACTCAATTGTGTGAATGTTCGAGAGTTGTTGAATCTTTGATTTCATGATGGCACTGGGGAAAATTGTTTGCATTTGAATGATGAATCATTGAAGCAAGGAAACACTCAACCACCACCTCTGGATGTGCATGTTGAATTCACTAGACAACCAAACCGCGAACAAAGACCAACGAACTTGTTACAAACCATCAGACTTGCAGCAGCCAGAACTTCGAGAAAAGCATAGTCCGATCCTTCGGCAGCCAGAGTTACAGATCAAGAGAAGACCACCGATTCGACTCCTTGCGTGATTTCAAGTCATGGCACTGCGCAAGACCGTCCCGCAGTCCCGCAGTACCAGCTCGAAGAGTTGTCCGGAGAAGAGGACGAAGCTCTAGTCCAAGAGACCCATCAGCCACACGCCTATCAGTACAAGGTACCGGCAGGTGTGCGCAATCTCCATCAATGGGGACAGGAAACGTTCAGCTCCGGGAAGCACAAGGGGAAGACCTTTGCAGAGACATTCAAAAAGGACAGCGGGTATGTGCAGTTCATTGTGCACAACACCCGTTTGACGTCAACAGACATGCTCAGCTTCCAGAATTACACCAAGGCCATGAGCTCGGGGAAACTCCCGAATCGTGTCCAGCCGAGGACAGGCAACCAGCTCAGAGGCCGAGTGGACGCATGTCGAAGCAGTATCATTGACCAGCCAATCGAAGACACCGAGAAGAACAAGAGGGGCTATTCGACAACGACCCCGTCGCAAATGGTGATCAGTGATCGAGGAGGACAGTCAGAAGGTGCACGATCCCCAGACTCCCTGAGAAGGGAACGCAGGGAAATCATCAATTCGAAATCTCCGAGATGGAACGCAGATGAGGTGTATAAAAGGTGTCAAGAACTAATTCATAATATTGAGGACTGTTTGTCCACTTTGCCAAAGAATTTGTTGCTGACGTTTCCAAACCTCAGTCTGTTCGTTCAAATTCAGGACACGATCGGCCAGTTGATTGCCTAGAGGTGTATTGTTTCTGCACGTCCAAAAAGGATGACACGCACAAAACGAAACACTTGAACCCAACAGCCGCTTTTATGCTCAAAAAGGAGCGCAGGACCTTGCAGGTTATGAGCCCAAGGTGACAGGTGTAAGACCCGGAGGCAAGGCCGGGCAGCCCCGCGGCTCCGCGCTATGTCGATGGTGGCACGCAGAAGAAGGCGGCAGCCAGGCGACGATGGAGAAGGTGAAGATAACGATCAAGGTGGCCTTCAATTACAAGATCGGCCGCTGGAGGACGACCAGCTTGCCATAGAAGATGGCGTAGACGAGGGGGAAGAGAGCTTAGAAGGCCCGAAGGGGCCACCAACGACCTTGACGCCGATGACCCCACTCTTCACGCCTGAGCAGTTGAAGGGACTTCATGAAGTGCAAAGCCAAGCTCCTCACTTGTACGCTCAGGTCCCGAGGCAGAGAGCATCTGGCAGCCCGGAATGGCTGGCAAGTCTCCCGAGGAGGTGAAGAAAGAAAGACCCACGTTCCTACCCAGAGAAGAAGGGCCGGCGGGGATACCTCCACAAACGAGTACGACCACGGGGACACCGTCACCTATGCTGGTAGGAGATCATGTACCAGAAGACCAACGACGTGGGCGACCTAGAGAACCACGGGTACCTGAAGTACATGAACCTGGAAGCGAAAGTGATGGTCAAGAACAAGCCCCAATCCGAGAACAGTCGGTGGCTCAACTTCACGGCAATGGACCTGGAGGACGAGGCTTACATGTTCCTAGGGGCTTTGGACAGAATGGGCCGCCTGGTTACATCATGCCTCATGAAGAGAGGAGAGGACCAATGCCGCATCAAGGTGGATGGCAGGTTCAACTTCATCCATATGGCCCTGGTCCGCCGAATCCGCAAGAAATGATGACCATGTTGGCGATGTTGAGACAAGAAAACCAACAACTACAAGTTCAGCAGGCGGAGTTCATGGATGCCATGAAGTACCAACGGGCTAGCCTGGAAGCAAAAGTGCATGATCTCCAACGTGAACTGGAGCAGCAGGCCTTCAGAACGCCAGAGAGAGCGATGAGTCTGTGAAGCGACAGCTGGAGATGACAGTCGACGAGCCCCCCAAAGGAGACGGACTTGGAGGCATCTGTACGAGTTGACTCCCATGCAGCAGTTCGAGCAGCTCCAATCCTTGATGGGGACGGTCACTCCGACGCCGGCGAAGCGAGGTGGTCGAGGGCAAGGGCAACGAGAGAGGTCGAGATCTCCAGGTCCAAGAACCACTCGTCAAGGAGGAGGTCAACCTGAGGGCTTGGTGGCAACTCGGGCGAAGGGATTCGAACCGGATGGGAGGCAAGGAACTGGAAAAGGGGTTGGACAAGCGAAAAAAAAGTCTGCTGCTGAACACCCTGGTCGCTCTTCGGCTGCGAATGCAAGGGAAGACCCATCTGGTGAAGGTGGAGGCGGTATGGTTGACGCTATGTCCAAGCTGATCACCTACTTGGTGGACAAAGAGAAGAAACAAGAGGGGCCAGAGTCGGTCAAGCCGGGAACCGTCACACTCCCAGTCCTGGCAGAGCCATCCGACACGGCTCCAATCGACTTGGCCGACTGGCTCACCATGGTAGAACCGGCGATGACAGACCTCAGCGACTCGTCGGGTGAGTGGTGGGGGTTGGTGGTGAGCGAAGCGAGATCCTGGTACAAGCAGTGCATCAAGCTTCGACCGATACAAAGGGCTGCA